CTTTCTATTTGTAGAAAGGTACTTAACTCATCAAATCTCTTTCTATTTGAATAAAAGTACTCAACTTATTAAGTCCCGTTCTTTTTAAATGAAAGTAATCAAAACATTATAATTCTTTCTATTTAAATGATAGTCCTTAACACATCAAATCTATTTCAATTTGGATAAAAGTACTATAAACATAAAATCTCTTTCTACTTTAATAAATGTACTCAATTCATTAAATCTCTCACTATTTAACTGAAAGCACTTAACCTATTAAGTTTCTTTTTATATGAGTAAAAGTCCCGATCTTATCGAATCTCCTTCTATTTGAATAAAAAAACTCAACTCATTTATACTCTATCCATTTGAACGAAAGTAGGCAACTTATAAAATATCTTTGCATTTAAATGGAAGTACTAAACTGATCAAATCTTTTTCCATTTAAATATACGTATCAAAGTCATTAAATCTTTTTTGATTTGAATAAAAGTACCAAACCTATTAAACGTATTTTTATTTAAATGATAGTTCTCAACTGATTCATTCTCTTTCTAATTTTGTATCAAAATACAAAACTAAATAAATCTTTTTCTATTTAAAAGAAAGTACTTAAACCATTAAATCTCTCTCTATTTCAATAAAAGTACCTAACCTATTTAGACTTTTTTCATTTAAACGAAAGTTCTACAATTATGAGATCTCTTTTTATTTAAAAGAAGGTAAACAACTTACCAATTCTCTTTTTTTTTAAAAAAGTACTCAACTTATTAAATCCTGTTCCATTTGAGGTAAGTTATTCAACACATTATACCACTTTCTATTTAAACGAAAGTACTAAAATTAATAAATCTATTTCTACTTCAATGAAAGTACTATACTCTATAAATCTATTTTTATTTGAATAAAAGTTCTCAACTCCACAAATCTCTTTTTATTTTAATGAAAGTACTTAACTTATCAAATTTCTTTTAGTTTTAATAACAGTACAATCTCATCAAATCTCTTTTTATTTAAAAAAAAGTATATAACATATCAAATCTATTTGTTTTAGAATAAAAGTACTCAATCCATTAAATCTCTTACTATTTTACTAAAAGCACTTAACCTAT